GTAAGGAGTCTGGCTGGCTGATTACCAATCAGTGGTCAGCTGGCCTTCTGGCTGACTAAGTCATTAGTCATGCTTACAAATAATTCTAATAATCTTTAGGTAATTAGTAATCACTGAGTCTTTGATTACCAATCACCAAATAGACCTAAGCCTTACATCTTTGACTAAGGTCATGAATCAAAATAACAAAAGTAAACATAATTGAGACTAAACTATCTAAGTAAATCTCTAATAAATATTCCATTTCATTACAGTGTTCGCATTGCTCATTGCGTTCTCCCTAAAGAGTGATGGATGGTGAACGCCTGGCTTCGAGAGAGTGTTGATGGGAACAAAGTGAGTTGAAAAGCGAAAAAGGAGGAGAGAGAAGGGAGGAGGTACAAGCAGGGAATAAGTTGCAAGAGGCCAAAGGACAAAGGCGCGTCCTTAAATCTTCCTGCATTTAGTGAGGCTGGTTGTTTGGCGGCGTAGTGTGGCAAAAAAGTCAGCCGTGAAGGCTGTTCGCGAGGCTCGATCCCTTGGCGCTGTGACAGCTGTCAGTAGGAACGCTAATCGAGGAGCAGAGGAAAAGAACCTAGGGATCGAGATCCTAGTCGCAAGGTGTATCATGGCCGAACAACCACTCCTCAACGACATCGAAACCTGGTTTGTTCCTATGAGCAAGCGAGCTAATGCAGGTAAGAGGTGTCTTACTGATTTGGAAGCGAAAGCAAGATCTGGCATCAGATCAGCGAGCGCGCGAGTCGCCACCTGCACCTCGTCCTAGCAGCGTGCAGACAAGATCTGTGAAAACAATTGATATTGTTTAAACTAGAATTTAGGTCAAAAACTCGCTAAAATCTGTCAGTTTTTGGCCAATAAAAGTGGCGCTATTCCCGATAGAAAACTAAAGATATTCGGGCGCATTATTCGATCAGATTAGTCTCACATTATTTGTTAGTTATCCTTTATGAATACTGGATTTTTTATGTGGCCAAAAACCGGTTCCCCACTTCCAGTTTTCAAACTGGTTTTCAATGGGCGAGAGTCATGGATGCCTGCTGTGGTGTCAAGAGGTCGGCTGAACAGTAGTGCTTAGGGATTGACACTGCTAAGCAAGAATGTTTTCAGTCCAGTTTATGTATTGTACCTACCGTCAAGTGAATTATATTTAGACATGGGCTCACTTGAGCTCAAGTAGAATCTTAGTACTGGCCACAATAATGCGCTAAACTCTTTATACAAGTATCAATCTGACATACTAGGCCTTCAAAATGGATCCGATATTTGTTCCCTGCAGTTCAAACATTATAAAGAAAAATTTCTCCACATATTCAATTTCAGCCAGATAACTCTACGCATAGAGCTCCTCATCATACTTCTTACTTCTTACTGTGAATTTGAATTAGCTCTTCTTCCAACTTGGCTGCTTTCTGGTCATCCCCAAGTTTTCGATAGCAGTCTAGCAGGTTTCTGATTACCATGGTCGTCTCTGGGTGCTCTGGTCCATACACTTCCCTTTGAGGCTCCAGGACCTCCTCAAGAAGCATGCTAGATTCTTGATATTTTCCAAGTTTCTCATAGTTTGAGGCCATATTATTCATATTCTGGAGAGTTATAGGGTGTGTAGGTCCAAGCACTTTCGTTTCGACTTCCAATAATTCTTGTTGTCGAGAGAGGGCCTCCGAAATGTTACCCAGGGAAAAGTATGTAGTTGCAATATGGTTCATATTGAGAAGGGTATCTGGGGAAGTTTCACCTAGCATCTTCTTTTGGAAC